TTTTTTTCTTTTTCGTTCTTTCTGTCGAAGAACTTGCGAACCCCGCACGATTAACCGTGGCGTGGCAAGAAACAGAAAGAAAGAAATGTAAAGAGAAAAATGTCAAATCGACGGAGAACGAAAGACAGAGAGAACTGAAGAAGAAAGAAACGTTGTTCCGTTGTAGAACTCGTCGTAGAATGGTGGTTCGGTTAAAACCTTAAGAAAGGTGGACCCGTTGGAACGAAGATTGACGAGTCAGCTTCTTTGAATACCTTTTATTGTACAAAGCATTACTTAAATAGTATATACTTCATTTCGTGTGTCTTATGTATAATCTTACGTACTACGTACGCTAGTATCTGCTAAAATAGTGCGTATGATGCTCTATACATTGTCCGTGGCACGAGCTGTCGCTTGTGAAAGCAGTTTCCCGCATCGAGTTTTGAAACTTGTTAAATCAACCATCAAGATACGTTCGGGGGCGTAGAGCAGTTTTACCGAGAAATGAAACAAGAAATTTCAACGAGAAACGTGTTCGAGACTAGCCGTAATCATCGTACGCACCCAGGAATAGGGATATTCTTCGTTTCTTTTTTACACTTGCGCAACCAACAACTCGTGCACGCGTATATATAATATATTTATATCTATGTATTTATATATTTATATATATATATATATAGATTTTCCTCGTAATTTTATTCGCAGCGTATTCTCTAGTAACTATCGTACATCGGTGAGTCGAAAAAACTTAACCTGCCCGGGGGGGGAAATGTTCTTTTACGTAGGAAATACTGACGAAAAAACTGAAGATTGTAGAAAAATAAGGCTAGGCGCTGTTCTCGAATCGACTGTTCGTCGTGTGCTGGTCGATCGAATTCTTTCAACATTCGCTGACGCGACGTATCTGTCGTTTAATCTATTTATGTTCATATATTTCTATATTTCACTACGTGTGTATGTGTGTGTGTGTGTTTACGTGTAAATATAATTAATATTCGTATTGCGGCGCGTTTCTTCGGATAACGATTACGGAAGCATCGGAAAAAAGAACTAGTCTCGATACGCACTCAACCACGCTCGAACATTCTTCTCTTTTTTCTCTGATTCTTGCTTCGTTTCGTTCTTCGGCCGCGTCACCCTCGTGAACTTGACTAACCGTTTCCGCTCGTATCTAAAGACTCTCCCAGACTCGCGTCCCACGCTCTTTCTTAAAAACTACGCTCGTTAACGTAAGGCTGGCTTACTCAGCTTTAGAGGAACATTGTTTTCTCTTGTTTAAGATACGTTAACCTAGTCGTTTATCATATCGTCGTCAACATCGTAGTCTTACAATGAACGTTGACCTTATTAATACACGATCTCTATTGATGTGACTACGGTTTTTTAACCATTTTTTTTTTCTTTTTTTTTCACCTTTTTACTTCTTTAATAATCAGGCTCTACTAGAAATACTGTTTCGTACATTCTTCTTTTCCTTTTTATACAAAATCTCTCTCTCTCTCTCTCTCTCTCTCATTCTCTCTTTCTATATATAGATTTAGTCTTTATATATATATATATACTCTCTCTATATTTATATATTTATATATATATATATATAATATATTCCTTCTCTTTTCATCTTTTTTTTTTATATAATAATAATAATAATAATAATAATAATAATAATAATAATAGTAATAATAATAATTTCCCGAAATATATACAAAGTGTGCGCTTCTCAATGGGCATTAATTTGTCAGGAAGAGAGGTGGGTGTTTTGTGCGACGTTTCGAGAATAAAGCACTAAACAGGGCCGATCCTAAGCGAATCCCAAGACGTAACTCGCCCCGAAATTGTTCTCAACCCTCCTCCCCTCCTCCGCCCCTCTCTGCCGCGTCGTACCGATGGTATTATACTTACATTCAACCAGCTCGTAATATCGTTCCGTTCGAACGCGTTTATAGACTCTGGCACGCGAGAGACCTTTCCGTTGAGACGCACCCTCCGCATCGGTTGTCCAAGAAACGGATATATCGAGACACACGTGTGTGTGTGCGTACGCGCGAGCACGTGTGTGTGTATGTGTGTGTGTGTGTGCGTGTGTGTCGATCGACGAAAACGGCGGAACAAAGGAAACGAAAAGACGGCCGGCGGTCAAGGATATTCGAATTTCGATACCGAAACGCGAACGAGAAAAACGGAAGCGACGCTCGAGAAACGAGAAAGAGAGGAGGGAACAAGAAGAGAAAAGAAAAAGTTAGCGGAAATGAGAAGAAGTGAAAAGAAAAATGACCGAACACGCGCGTCGAACGAAAAGAGAAAGGCTACGCGATTGCTAGGTAACTCGGAGAGGTACCCGGCGTCCGTCCCCGTTGCCTCTTTATCAGACGTAAGTCCACCGCAGCGTCTTTATCTGATCCCACTGCACCGGATGTTTCAAGCGCATGTGGTTCCTCACGCTGTTAGGATGAGAGAAGGTTTTCGCGCAAGAGGCAACGGGACAGGTGGGGGAGTCGCGCGGATAGTGATGCTCCAAGTGAGCCCTCATCGTGCTGATATCCTGCAACGTCCTGCAACAAAGGGGACACCTGTAACCGTGCTGCTGATGATGATCGCGTATCATCTTTTGCTGCCTGTAGTCCGCCGGGCTTCGTTGGTACTTGGTCGTGGTAGTGTTGGTGGTGGAGGCGGTGGTCGTCGACTGGTCTTGCTGCTGCTGCTGCTGTTGTTGTTGCTGTTGTTGCTGTTGCTGCTGCTGCTGGTCGTCTTCCTGTAGCGCCTGATGATGATGATGGTGAGGAGGAGGAACGGATAGTGGATGATGATGACGATGCCGATGATGTTGCTGGTGATGGCTGTGGTGGTGGTGGTAAGCCGCGCCCTCTGCCTCATCGAGCCCGTGATCTGCAACCACCACCACACCAACGTTACCACCAGCCACCACCACCATAAACTCAAACCCAACCCTTGATAAAAACAGAGAGTACCAAAGCGCGCGCGAACACACGTTCCATTGCCGAGTCGAACCCCCTCCGAATTTCGCCTCTGTAGACCTCTGCGTCGTCCCACCCCCATAACCCCCCCCCCCCCCATTGATTCAAGCGGAATATCTAGAGAGGTTACGTCTCCCGCAAATAGTTACCGGTTACTGATATATCTGGCAGATTGCTAATTGCTCTGTCTCTCTCTCTCTCTCTCTCTCTCTCTCTCTCTCTCTCTCTGCTCGATATCGCGCGCAACTGGCAGACGGAGGACTGCACGGAATTCGCGCAATCATCGCGTAAATCGAATACTAATGGCAGAGATGCTTGAACGTGTCCCGACAGAATCTCACGTGCCAGATTATTACCGTTCGATTCTCTCTCTCTCTCTCTCTCTCTCTCTCTCTCTCTCTCTCTCTCTCTCTCTCTCTCTCTCTCTCTGTGTGTGTAGTATGTGTAAGGTGGCTGAACATGATTCCCCATATATACGTATATGTTGTAGTTAATAGGCTGTGAAACCATACACGCGGATTTTGGCTCGAAGGTGGCGGAGGTGTGTAAGCGTTCTTTTCATTACGTGTAAACTTAGAAAATACCCCTTTTTTGTCGCGAGCAATCGACAGATTTGTCTCGCGTTTGTCCTTTCTCGAGACATCTCGCCGGACATCTTATTGCCGAACAGGCATTTGGCTCGGACCAGGTCCGTACCGTGTCTTTTCTAACTGTGCGAGTAACGACACTCGCGATCGTGTGGAACGATTATTACACTACGCTAAAGTTTCTCGTCTTTCGCAGGGGATTCTCCGATCGCTTCGTCTGCCGTCCCCGTTTTTGAACTTCGTAGAAAATAGGAATCTGAATGTGACCTCGCCGATACAGGCGGCCGCACCTCGAACGTCACCGCGTTCAAACCATTTTAACCTGCCTCGTTCCGCGCGTATAAATACGAACCAGGGCATAACCCGATTCCCTCGAACCCGTTCCCCTCCCCTTCGTAAAAATAACGCCACGATAATTCGAGGAAAATCGACGCGACCCCGAGCGATTTCAATCGCGGACGCGATGTCGACCACCGCTCGCGCGAACTCGCGAATAATCCGGCCGAGGATCTCGACTCGTTTCCACGACGCGATCACGGCCGTGCTGTATCGACGAGCGTCGTGGAGAAACGGCCCCCGACTTCATCTGGTCGCGGACCGCTTTTTATGGATGGTGTTCAACGAGAACGGGACGGCAGACGAAGAGGACCGTACTCATGGCAACGAGGAGGACGAAGAGGACGACTGATGCTGCTGCTGATTAGGATTGTTCAAACTGGGCCGTTGATGTATCCCGTGGGCCTGAAGCTGATGATTGATCAGGTAGTGCTTGGTCTTGCACCGTTTGCCGCACACGTTGCACTGCGGCCACGTCTCCGGCGGCGGCCAATTCGAGTGGACATTTTTCACGTGCTGCCGGAGGTTGCTCGGCGACGAGTAGCTTCTGCCGCAGTAACGGCAGAGAGGCCTAGCGTCGTCGTGGCGCAGTGCCGTGTAGAGTCTCGCGAAATTCTCCACGGCTTGCGTAGTTTCGCTGGCGGCCGCAGCCACCGCCGCCATCGCGGCTTCCTCCCTCTTCGGCATCACCGATCCTACAACCAGGACGTGCCCGTCAGTTGATTCTGTCGCCTTTCTCTCTCTTTTGTTTCTCTCTCTCTCTCTCTCTCTCGTTCGCTCACTCTTTCTCTCACTCGCTGTCTCTCTCTGTCTAACTTTTACATTCAGGATTTATTTCTCTTGGTCGTTTCGTTCGTTCTTTTCATAACGCGCGTCTAGCTACATTTACTCTTCTCTCTCTCGCTCTTCTTGACGCACGCAGTT